ATATATATTATTCTTTACTATTTTGTTTGCATATATCACTAATTTTATTTAAAACCAAATACACAAACAAAAGCTCAGGTGAAGAATGAGTTTCATTGATAAAAGGGAGCCTCTAACAGTATATGATTATTCTCAATTCTATTATGTTCAAAGACATTAATGGTTTTCTCTCATCTTATTTCTGAACTGTATCATAAACTCAGAAAGCTAAACTTCTTTAAACTTTTACTTCAACAGAAAGGTAGTGATGTTGAGGCAGTTTTTGACTTCAAGTCTATTTTTTCTGAGATTACTATAACCACCTATGCTCTCTTCTGTTTATATTTGCATGGAATACCATTTTGCTATTTATTCACTTTGAGCATGTGTCCTTATATATAAAGTTAGTCTTGTAGATAACAGATAGTTGGGTCTTGCTTTATTATCCCTTCAACCATTCTATGTCTTTTGAATGAGGAGTTTAATCCATTTACATTTAAGGTAATTATTGGTAGAAGAGGGCTTACTTTAGCCATTTTGTTTTTCTGTTTTGTAGTTCTTTTTCTTTTTAAATATATTTTATTGATTTTTTACAGAGAGGGAGGGAGAGGGATAGAGAGCTAGAAACATCGATGAGAGAGAAACATTGATCAGCTGCTTCCTGCACACCTCCTACTGGGGATGTGCCCACAACCAAGGTACACGCCCTTGACTGGAATCGAACCTGGGACCTTTCAGTCCGCAGGCCGACACTCTATCCACTGAGCCAAACCTGTCAGGGCTGTTTTGTAGTTCTTCTATTGCTCTTTTTCCTTTGTGTTTGGTTGATTTTTTTGTAGTGATATTCATCGATTCATTTTCTTTTGTATTATCTTCTATATGTTTTCTTCTGTAGCTTCCATGTGGCTTGTTAAAATGTACATACTACTCATTGTGATCTATAGATCACTATCCCCATCACACGTCATTGCTATCCCTATCAAAATCCCAATGACAATTTTTATAGAAATAGAAAAAAATCATAAAGTTTATGTATAACTACAAAAGATCCAGAATAGCCAAAGTGATCTTAAGAAAGAAGAATACAGTTGGAGGTATTACACTTCCTGATTTCAAACTAAATTACAAAGCCAGAGTAATAAAACAAAAAGATTGACATATAGCAATGAAACAGAATAGAGAACCCAGAAAAAAAGCAGCACATATACAATCAAATGATCTTTGACAAGGATGCCACGAAAGGATAGTCTCTTCAAAAGACGATATAAGGAAAACTGGATAGCCACATGAAAAAGAAGAAAAAGAAATTGGACCCCTACTGTACTTACATCATACACAAAAATCAACTCAAAGAAGTTGAAGATTAATTTAAGACCTAAAACTATAAAACTCCTGAAAGAAAACTTACAGAAAGGTTTCTTGACATTAGTCTAGGCCAGTGGCCGGCAAACTGCGGCTCGCGAGCCCCATGCGGCTCTTTGGCCCCTTGAGTGTGGCTCTTCCACAAAATACCACGTGTGGGCGCACACATACAGTGTGATTGAAATTTGTGACCCATGTGCAGAAGTCGGTATTTTGTGGAAAAGCCACACTCAAGTGGCCAAAGAGCCGCATGTGGCTCACGAGCCACAGTTTGCCGACCACTGGTCTAGGCAATGATTTATTGGGTATGACACTAAAAGCACAAGCAACAAAAGCAAAAATAGACAAGGGGAATTGTATTAAATTAAAAAGCTTGTGAACAACAAAGGAAACAATAAACAGAATTCAAAGTCAACTATGGCATGGTAGAACATATTTGCAAACCATATATCTGATAAGGGTTTAAAAACCCTTTTATCCTATATAATAAAAGGCTAATATGCAAATTAATCAAACAACGAAACCATCAGTCGCTATGATGTGCACTGACCACCAGGGGGCAGACACTCAACACAGGAGCTGCCCCCTGGTGGTCAGTGCACTCCCATAGTGGGAGTGCTGCTCAGCCAGGCTCATGGCTGGTGAGCGCAGTGGCAGTGGCAGGAGCCTCTCCTGCCTCCACGGTAGTGCTAACGATGTCCAATTGACAGCTTTGACCTGCTCCCCACCAGCCTAAGTCATCAGTTGGATATCCCCTGAGGGCTCTCGGACTGCAAGAGGGGGCAGGCTGGGCTGAAGGACCGCCCCCCCACCCCACTCCTGCCCCGAGTGCACGAATTTCATGCACCAAGCCTCTAGTTTGTTAATAATAATACAGTTACATAAGATACATAAGATAAGTCCTATAGAATACTTCACAGCATGGTGCTCATAATTCACAAACAAAAATGGGACACAAGGAAACTCTGGGAGGCACTGAATTACTTGATTGTGGTGACAGTACCACAGGAGTTTACAAGTGTCGAAATTCATCAAAATGTACATATTAAATTTGTACAAATCTTTGTATATCAATTATACTCCCAATAAAGCTGTTAAAAAATGTAGTGCTGGCCGAAACTGGTTTGGCTCAGTGGAGAGAGCGTCGGCCTGTGGACTGAAAGGTCCCGGGTTCGATTCCGGTCAAGGGCATGTACCTGGGTTGCGGGCACATCCCCAGGAGATGTGCAGGAGGCAGCTGATTGATGTTTCTCTCTTATCGATGTTTCTGGCTCTCTGTCTCTCTCCCTTCCTCTCTGTGAAAAATCAATAAAATATATTTTTAAAAAAAATGTAGTGTTGCCCCAGCCAGGTGGCTCAGTTGGGTGGAGCATCACTCCATACACCAAAAGGTTTGGGGTTTGATTCCTGGTCAGGGCACACCTAGGTTTCAGGCTGTCGATCCCCTGTGGGGGTGAGTTTGGAAGGCAACCTATTGATGCTTCTCTCTCACATCAATCTCTCTCTCTCTCTCTCTCTCTCTCTCTCTCTCATCAGTGAAGGCTTATTCTCAGGTGAGAATTAAAAATATATATATTTGAAAATATTTCATTCTACAGGAATGTGCAGTTACTCAATCAGAGAGAGTAACTAGAGCTCCACAGAAAGAGCACTGTGAGTCCTTCACCTGCCACTATCCCATACATCCACTCTGGTTGCCATGAAATCATGAGCCAGATACATTTTCAGTGATATTCCTTTCATACACTTCCACCAATGTCCAACCTAGTTCACGAAATGGTCGCTCTATTCATTTTTAGTGTTAGAATGTTGGCAATCTACCCCAGGTTTTACAGCATTAATGTGAGTTCAGTTTGCATTGTAATCTGAGGTTCTCTCTGAAGAGATACTAGCTCCATCATTTAAAAACTTATGAACTATAACAAGCTGAGGTTTTTAACCACTTATCTGGTTGAGAGGCAGAGTTGGGGTGAGATTCAAATCCAAGTTTACCATTGACTGGCCAACCACAGCAGTTTGATCCTTAGTTACCGAGTCTATAACACTGAGATTCCTTCAGAGTGGTTGTGAAGATCAAATAAGACAATGTATGTAAATCACAAAGCACAAATGGTGATCTTTAATAAATATTACTTTCTCTTGTTTTAAAAACTAAAGATGACACTAAGGTGGGGATGGGGAGTGAAAAAAATGTCCCCTCTAAATACCCGCATACATTCATATACTATACAAATTAGAGCAGGATATATTCTCTTACACCAGGCTCATTTATGTCATTTTTCACAGCTTGAATGCAACCTACTGAAATTAAGATTAAGTTATTAGTAAAAGTGAAAAAAACTGCATTTCATTGAGATAGTTTTGCTTACATATTCACATAAATACCTTATCATACTAATTCTTAATTAATTGAGAGCAACAGTTTCTAGATTAAGTAGGTTGTTTACATCTGAATGCTGGAAGATAGAGGATTCAGTCCCTCAGTCAAAGATGTATAGCTCTGTGAGTGACAGAAGATAAGACACTGGGAAAAAAATGTTTAAGGCTCATTTGGGAACCAAGACATTTTCATTTCATAGAAAGGATTTAGACTCAATTGGAACATAAGGTGCTAGGAACAATTGCAGGCAGTTGCTTTCTTGGTTCATTGCCTAACCCTGTACTTATCACCCTCTGAGCAGCAGTGTAGGAGTTGGCCCTGGTCACCTGGATGCCTTATACCTTAGTGGGTTAGCCAAGTAACAAACAAAAAGGCAGGTTGTCATATCGACTTCTTATTTTCTTAAGAGTACTCTTTTAAAAAATAGATTTCACACAGAAACACTAACTCTCTTAATCTGAGGAACTTGAGGACCAAGGCACAAGTAAGACTTTGTCTTATCTTTTGCATTTTTATCTCTTTGGCTACAAGTATAAACTAGCTGCTAGCAACAGTCTTGTCCTTCCTTCCTTCCTTCCTGCCTTCCTTCCTTCCTTTTCTTTTCTTCTTCTTTTTTCTTCTTTTCTTCTTTTCTTTGTTTCTTTGTTTATTTCTTTCTTTGTTTGTTTGTTTGTTTGTTTCTTTCTTTCTTTCTTTCTCACCTGAGGATATGTTTTTATTACTTTGAGAGAGAGAGAGAGAGCCAGAGAGAGAGAGAAACAGAGAGACAGACAGATATAGATTAATATCAATGTGAGACAGAAACATCAGTGGGTTGCCTCCCATATGCACCCTGACTGGGGATTGAACCTGCAACTTTTGGTGTATGGGATGATACTGCAACCAAATGAGCCACCTGGCCAGGGTGGGACATCTTATTTTTCATATCCAGATAGAGTTAGGCTTTGTATTGTTTTTAGTGGCCCTTCCTGTATTTTTTTCATGCAGTTATTCAACAAACACTGTATATCTACTGTGTGACACAAAGGCAGAGGCAAACCTAGAACAATAGAAAAGGACACATGAGAAAGTCATTGATAATTCAGTTTCTGTTTATCAGTTGCTATAATAGAGATACATCCAGGTTGTGGTGCTAGGGCTACAAAGATAATACAAAAATGAAAAAAATATATTGTCTACAAGAACCTACAAAGAATATGATAGAGTAAAAATGAAGAAATCCAAGATATTATACCACAGCTGTGTATTTGCCTGATCCTCTGGGAATAGTCAAGGTAAGCTCCTAGAGACCAAGAACCCTGACTTGTCTCACAAACTCATGTTGAGTACTTTTGTGGAGGTGATCCATAGAAATACAGCAAAATGCACTTTCTTGAATATGTCCCCTCCCCAAAACTTGCACACAAATATTTAACACTCCTCTGCTTCCTAAGGCTTCCTTATCTTCCACATTAACTAATTATACCATTATAGAAATGTTGGAACATTTAAAGATCATTCTAAGTAATTCCTTCAGCAACTTATAATTAAGGAAACTCAGCTCCAAGAAGGATAAATGACTTAACAAGGTTATATAAAAAGTAGTGGAACCAGGGAGGACTCAGTTTAATGATACGTTTGGGTTTTTTCAGTTCAATTGTCATTTTCCTTTATAAAATTCCTTTTTTTTTTTTTTTACTTAAGGGCAAAAACACATTGAAAGAAGTAAGGCCCATTTATCTTACATATTAAGTCCAATAACTACTATAAGATTGTGAAAAATATAAAAAAGGCTAAGATAATAAGCACCTTTCTGCTTCTATCAATGAGAAAAGATACCTATTACTAAAGCTTTTACCCTTTAAAGATAAACATAAGAATTCACAGTAATAGGATAGCAATAAAGACCATTGAACAGAAGTAATTAGATACTTAGCACAGATGCCACGTATCTAAAGATTTGCACCAGACTCGGAGAGATGTCAGGTTTAATCAGAGGATGTGGCTTTCAGAACATCACTTCCCGAAGATCCCCCGAGACCCACCTTTTGTGGCCTTTGTCAAAGCCAATGGCAGGTATAGGTACAGTAAGTAATTTCTGTGGTACTTATTCACTTGAGAGATATTCTATGATAGCAAGACATTTTCTTTGCAGTTCATATTTGTTCTTTTTAACAAGCAGCAACTTTTAAATGGGGAAGTTTTTCATTTATTTCCACACACACAAAAAAAGAAAAAAAACACCTAAATTTCATTGAGGATATAATTTTGTAAAAGCATTATTCAATTTTGACCGTCAAAAGGTTATTGTACAAAACGTCATTATTTAACCTTATACCGGGGTACCTAGTCCAGCATTTCCCCTGCTGGTGTCCACATGCACCTGAGGGTGACATTGAGAGGGAGTGGGAGGTTGAGGAAGACAGAATACCAGGGGAAAGATGGCCATGACAACAGATACTATTAAAAGCTTAATTTTGTTGAGAAAATTCTGGGTTACTGCAATATGTAATTAGTGAGCACCAATAAGTGCCAGACTCTCTACTTGATGCTAGAGCAAAACAGGTTTATGCCAGCATTTCTTAGTGCCTCTGATACACTAGTGTTTCTTATGACTATGATGACCAATGTCCGAGTTTCAGCAGTACAGCCCCAGCCTGCAACTGCTGATTCAGCATTAACAGCCTTCCCTTTCACTCCTGTCATCCTACCTGTGACTCTGTATATTGGGGGGAAGGTAAATATAGTGCACACGTTTTCCTAAACTAATATGACCAATGCAATACTGGCCTGGTTCAGAAAATGCTGATCTATTCCATTCTCATCACTTGATAGCTGATGGAAACTAAGGACCAGGGAGTTAAAGAGACTTGGCTAGAAAATGGTAGAGAGGATGAGAGCCGAGGACTCCTGGCTCCTATCTCTGATGCATTTTCTGACGTAATCACAGACTGTTGTACAAAAACATTTTTAACATGCAATTCACATTCTTAACATGAAGTTCAAGTCATACTAAAACATTCTTAACATGAAATTAAAAAGTCCTATTATTAGATTGCAAGTATTATATTTTCTCCTAATACAAAAATAACTCACCCACTTTTGCAAGTTAATTTCAATTTAAATGAAGTTCAAGTCAATTTTTTTCTTTTAAAATCATAGCTGTAGAATTAACAAGAGACAGAGTTAATGAGAAAACATTATCTTGGAGTCAACTTCAAGCTTGGAAGCCATATCTATCTTTCTCTGCTTTCCCTCTGTTCACTCCTGTGAATGTGAGGTAACTGATTTCTTCCTATCCTCAGAGTGTCGCTGGCCTCACAAGTGTGTGTTTGGGGGTTGGGGAAGGAGCTAATTTTATCAACCAACAGACTTTGCAGTGCCTACCACAGAGTTCTGCTATAATACTTTACTCCCATTTTGGTTCCAAGTGTCCTTTAAAGTAAGGATACGACTTTCTTGGGCCATTTGATACCTATGAAAACTTTAAATAAATTAGTTTACAATATAATCCATGAGTCTCTACACGTTTACTAACAGAGGCTATTTTCTGATTCTGTTTGTACCAAAAGAGATGGCTCTAGAAAATCAGACAAAGAATTATATCTTTAAAAATAAGTTATTCAGATTTTGGGTCACACATGGGCTCTGCTATCCTAGATAACTGTTGTGCATTTTAGGCAACTTAGAAAGTTGTTTTAGAGGAGTGAGAGTGAATGATTATAAAAGCTTTAAAAAAAAAAAAGTGGTTTCGTATGAGTTAAGAAATATAAATGGACTTTTCTAAGGGGAAAAAGTAGAAAATGTTGGTTCACACTCTTGGGAAATTCATTTCTACACAGGATATCTTTTTGCTCATTAGTAAGAAAAGGGAGTTAATATTAATTAAATCTTGCTCAGACAAGATAACCAGTTAAGTACATGAAGAGAAAATTACAAGTTGATTAAGGCAAAACATGCTTAGAGCAAATCCAGTCTTGGATTTTCAATGGTGACATGAGATAACATGTGACAACATTCTCTTGCAGTCACACTAGACTTTGTGATTGTGTGGCAGAGCTTTGACTTTTGGAACATAGCACTCTATTCTGTGATTCAAAAAAGGCTTGCCTATGATAATGTGCCGTTTGAAGAAATGGACATATTCAAGTCTACCTACTGCACTCAATGAGAGCCACCTGCTTAAAAAAGAAAGGAATACAGATATTGATCACATCAAACGCTTTCATTGAAGTTGACATGGACACTCATATAGTTCATTGTGGATGATTTCAGAAGCTTTCCTGTGTATGAGAAGCAGAACTACAGGCCTTTTTGTATAAGTTCCTGTATATCTTGTCCATGCTGTTCTCAAAGACGGGTCGGTGGGACTTTCCTTTGTAAGAGGCTGCCCTGTTGGACCAGTATTCACCGTCATCCATTTGGAGAGTGCCACGTGGCCGCTGAAGTGAGCTGTAAGAAAGAATACACGGGATTACCATGGTGAGACTAGACCAGAGGCACAACTGTCTAAATCAAACATCGATGAAGTACTTCACAGGTATGTGTATACTCTGTCTGGACTATGAGAAATAAAAGACAATAAGGCCTGTGCCTTTAAAGAGTGACATTATTTGCATGAAAACAATTACAGAACACTAAAATGAAAATTGTGTGTGAGACAGGGTTTGAAAGGAATTCGGAGAAGAGAGGTAAGTAAGGTGGTGAAGCAGAATGCAGAGGGTGCTCAAGGGCCAGTTACAAGAGTCAGACACACCTGGCACTGACTCTCACTTAATCCATTAGAGGCTGGGGACCTTGGACCACTTCTTTAATCGTCCAGCGTCTCAGCTTCCTCGACTGTATTTTTGCGGTTATTGTTTTAAAAATTAAAGAGAGTGTATGTAAGGTGCATAGTATAGTTCTTAACTGGCACACAGAAGTTATTAATTACGAGGCATGGAACTACTAAGTATTTTATATGTATTTACATATATTAACATATTAACTTACACTCTCTGAAGTTAGTAACTAGAAACTGAAGTCAAGTGAAGTCAAGTGACTTCCTACGACCACCCAGGTAGCAGGTGGTGGAATGGAAGGGGTGGCATGTCTGTGGCTCTGAGTCCTTTCTACTGTGCCAGGATGCTGCTGTCCTGAGTGGGGAGCAGAAAATTAGACTGAACATGAACCACCTTTGGAAACAGGAAAAAAGGCAGAAGAGGGTGTATTTGAAGTGATAGGGACCTACTGTCATTTAACAGTTTTGAAGGGGAAAAAAGAACAAATAGGAAGCTATGAAATAGTTGTAGTGGCAATAGGGAAGAAAAGGCAAGTTTTTCTGAAGGTTCGATAGCACTTTTTAAAAACATACCTAAGTTATAATTTTAATATCACAAAAAATTAAGTTCTGGACTCAGTACATTATCTGCTAGAAATAAAATGCTGGCTTTTTCAAAGACTAAGTTTATTTTTTAAAAATAAATCCTTGACCTACTTCAATAAATTAAGTACTTGTTATAGGTAAGACCTCTTAGGCATTCTAGAGATTATTAAGTTTGTACCATATAAAACTATAGGTCCCGACTATTAAATTCTATAAATATTTTCTTCATATATGTATCTAGCATCACATCTCACGGAAACAATTTATTTCCTAACTTGTCAGTTCCATGATATTACCTCCACTGTCAACTGTGAAATAGGAACACTTGGAGTTGTCTAGAGATATATTTTCTATTTTGCCTGAAGTCAATCTTACCACCTGAACACTGTATAAATGACCATGAAAAAGTGCATGAAGTGGCTGTATTACCATTTCAGAGCTTGGTAGTGTCAGTGATGATGTAGTGAAAATATTTATGCACTCACTTTGGAAAAGAGTTTGACATGATCCAGTAAGCTTAAATATGCAACGTCAACTTAGTAATTCAACTGCTAGATACACCAGCCAAATTCTTATACAAGTGGGCAATGCACAAAATGTTCATAATAGCACTCTTTATCTTTATTCTTAGTTATTCGGGGCATTTTAAGTCTATGTATTATTTAGAATTTTTCTTCCATTTGTTAATACTAAAGGTAGCTTTTGGCTGTTTGTTACATCTTATTAATCAGATAGTGATCAAAGGAAAAGAAATGAAAACTATACTCAACCCTGTTAGTTAAAAATATATTTGTAAAATTTAAATTATTCAGATTGATATTCTATTATACATAATTTCATACTTATAGCATTTATATTGAGTGTATTCCTACTGTTAGTAAACTCAAAAATATGGACAAACAGAAAACAGTTTAAATTAATAGCGAATTCCTTAAAAAACAACATAGCTAAAATTTTAATTAACAGGTATAAAAGGGCAAGTCATATTCTAAACATGAAGTTCAAATTACGTTTATCCTTCTCTCTTTTTATGGCCAACTCCCATCTATATGAAGTATCACCTTATGCCTGGTCTTTAATTAGGACGATGCTCAAACAGGATGGTGCTGCCAGAAGCTCTGAGGAGAACTGAGACAGACATAGGAGGTGCTAAAAGGAGGAAAGGGTGTCCCAGGGCCCTGGGAATTGGCAAGGCTACCACAGTTGTCTAAAACTTTGTAAGAGACGCAATATGAAATTGAGAAGGAAGTCTACATGGGTAGTAGATTCTTTCCCCATACTAGCCCCCAAATCCCAAAGTATTGGAAGTAAAAGATTTCTCCTAATTAATTTAATATTCAAAGGTTATGGAAGACATAAGACAGCTGGCATGGATATACAATAAAGCCTAAAATAAGCCTTGGATATATAGATTTGCAGAAAAGCCAAATAAACTAAAAACCTTAAGTAGGATGAGAGCATCACCATTCATTGACTGTATTTGTTTTCATTGAAAAGTTTCTTTAATGCAAACATTAAAATGTTTTAATAGGATTTTTCACAGTTAAATATTTTAAGTATATAAAATAATTAATTAATAATTGCTAATTTGAGTCTAAATTTCCCACAAATCTAGCAGGTTAAGAATCAGGCTATTTTTGTACCAATTATGAGAAAGACCTCTCTACAGAGAATTAACCAAGTTCATACCTGCACTCGGGATCACTGTCATAGGCACAGTCTTTGTAGAAAAGACCTCTTTTCATTTCCAGTTCGTCTTCCTTCTCCGGGTCTCTCTCATCCTGAAAAGTATGAAGATTTTCATTAATTCATTTTATAATTAAAATGGCACATGTCTCTTTGGGAAATGCTCTCCTTCTCCCCCATTATATGAAATTGAATTAAATATTTGGACATCTTAGGAAAGAAACAAAAGGGTAAGTCAGAATTTATTATTCTGTTCAGTAAGACTAAATAATTTTTATTATTATTATTATTAGTTAAGGAGGACTAAATAGTTTTATTATATTTTTGCTAATACTGTTTATCAAAGACTGGATACCCAGTAGATGTTTCTTGAATCAACAAATGAAAGGGAATGGATACTGTGCATTAAGATATGCAATAAGATGTGTAATAATATCTTACACATTGTTAGATGGAATCAAGATACATGGCTACTCCTCCTTGTATAAGTAGCTTGTTCAGACTCATTCAAGAGCACAAGAAATAGGATCCTAAAGAGATAGCTTTGTAAACTATATCCTTTTAGTAATTATTATCTTAATGTATGACATTTATGTAATTTAATATCAAATATATTTCTCACCGACTGGCCAATACCCTTATTACCTACTCAAACTAGAATAAAAATAGAGAAAACTGATAAAAGGAACTAGTAAGCACAAATAGACCGCTATAAAGATTATAATAAAGAATTCACTTTATATAAGAAATCAGCTGAAAATAGATTATGAAGAAAATAATTTTTAAATTTTGCTGATAGCATGAAATTGTGAAGAAAGCATTCTGTTAAAAATGTAAGTCAAAAAATAACAGAAAATGTGAATATATATTTAGAGTTATTGAAGCTTCTAGGTAAATTAAAACCTTTTATCCTTACAAAGTAACTCTATTTAATTCTATTAATGCCCCTCCCCCCCCCCGCTATTTTTGGTTTACTATTCATATAGCTACAATGGCTTTCTTTTACTTAGTGCTTGTATGGTATATATTTGTCCTTTTATTTTCAACCTTTCCTTATTATTAGTTTTTAGATCTTTTTCCATAGATAGCATGTAGCTACTAGACATTACTTATTTTTGCCCAGTCTGATAAATCAACAAAGTGAAGCATTCACTCTATCATCACAGAAAGTGTAATTGGCTATCAGGAATACAAAAGACACTACAAAAGAGTGAAAGAAATTAATAAAAGATAATGTTTTCCGTTTCAAGAAATGTGTTGTAAGAACTAAATAAAACAGAATGTAAATATTAAATTTAAAAATTCTAATGAATGATAATACTCTTTAATTTTGTCAATACAGTTGAAAAATTAATTTTGACAACATGGCAATAAAAATATTGACTAAATTTCAAATGTTTATCTATTAAAAAAACATACAAAAAGTACCTTTTAAAAAATCTGAGCCTAAATTAATTATTAAACAAAACCCGTATTTTGAGCTGGATAGTTACTATTCTAGACTCTGAGGACAGAAAGATGACTAAGACAGAGTTCCTGCACACACATGGAATAAGGCTTGCTTATTCCATGAAACTCTATGGATAGAAAGGACCAAAGGATAGAATTATTAGGAGACATAATAAAGGACAAAATAAAGAAAATAAGGAAAAACTTTCTAATTAATGAACATTCTAAGAACAGAGGTACTGTCTTATGAGTGAGTAAGATCACTGCAGAGCACTGATACCCACTTATATCAACAATTTCATGGAGGCGAATTATGCCCTGAGAAACAAAAAGGACTAGACGACCTTCATAGTTATTCCCATCTATATATATATATTTCACACACACATCTATTATAAGAGTCTTTGTATAGTCTTTTTTTTAAAGGTCAGGTTATATATAAACAAAGAGGCAAAAACATCACATCTTATTATAACTTATTGACTATGGATCAAGAAAACATTTGAAGAGATGTATCATTCTTGTCAGTGTCAGAAAATACATTCCCAGGACATAAAGAGGTGATTCACCCCTTATTACTCATTCACATTCCCATTTGCTCACATGAAAATACAGAAAAAGATGGACAGCACCAATATTTATTGAATACCTACAAGGTACCTAGGACTGAGGTACTTTTTATATGGATATCATTTAAGTCTTCAATAACCACATCAAATATATTGAAACTTAGAAAAACTTTTAAAAAATTGCCCAAAGATACAAACTAAAAGGCAGAGCTGGAATTTAAATCCAGACCTAACTTGATCTACATTATACTGCCTCCTAGAATGCAAATAAACTGGATTATGAAATCAAAACCTCCATCCCAGGCCATTGGATCATTCTCTTATATGAAAATAGGCCCAAATTCATTCAAGCTGGTATCTAGTAAGTTTTTTTTTTTTTAATGTAGGTATGTTGAAAGATTATAGTCCAGAATTTCCAGTTTCACTTATCCTTGGGTAACAGCAGTACAAAAATGCAAAATGCAAATTTCCAGAAAAAAACAATTGCTGAGTTTTAAATTGCATACCATTCTGAGTAGCATGTTGAAATCTCGTGCCACCCACTCCATTGCATTCAGAACGTCAATCACACCTTTGTCCAGTGCATCTAAACTGTCTATGCTACTAGCCCACTAGTAGCCTAGTGGCCGTCTAGGTTATCAGATGGCAGGGCAGTATCACAGAGCTTGTGTTCAAGTAATCCTATGATGCTGACAATTTGGATACACCATAGAGAAGCCGTGAAGTGCTTCTTTTAAGTGAAAAGGTGAAATTCTCGACATACTAAGTGTCATACGGAATTCTTCAAGCAAAAGGGAAATGATTCTAGAATCTAGATGGGAACATGAAATTACTGTCAAGAATGAATAATAATAGAAAGGGTAAATATGAGCTTAAATGAATAAACAAAATTTGTCTGTTTCATATATGCAGAATTTAAAAGGCATGATAATAGAAACATAAAAAAGAGGTAGATTAAAAAGAATTAATGTTTTTAGGTCCTACTATGATTGTCAGTATGCATGTTGAAATCTTTAGGGAAACCAATGACAGAATAGTAAAAAATTTAACCAATTAGTAAAAAAGAATATGAATGGCAAAAAACACTTATTAATCCAAATGAAAGCCCCATCAGTTGACATAAAAATTCTGGATTTTCATTCTTGAAAAAGATTTCATGTGCTTTTATAAGATATGTACTTTAAGTCTAATGATAAAAAGCAAAGGATGGAAAAATACAGACCTTGCATATATTAGCCAAAAACTAATGTAGCTATAACTATACTAACATCAGATAAAACACACTATGAAACAAAGAGTAATTCTAGAGATAAAGAGGGATATTGCATAATAAAAGGTTCTTAACACAATCTAAAATCTATATCCAACCAATGACATAGTTTCAAAATATATAAAATGTCACATAATCCAGTTATGTCTCCAGGACTGAGTTTAGTGCCCTACATGACACTCATGATAATTGTTTTTAAAGCTAATAAATGAAAAAGGAATCAAACACAAAAAGAATGTATAGTAGTAATTATTTCCATACTGTCATTCATGTATACATTTTTGCCTTATCTCAAAAAATATTCTCATATTGATGTTCCCTAATATTAAACATGGTAGATCTGCTCTGCTCTTTTCCTCTTTTAAACATTTAGTTAGCATAAAAATTAGATGGGTGGCTTCTTCAAAATATATATTTTCTTACCCTCTCCTTCATTCTACCATTTAGAATCAAATCTATTGCGAGGACATGGAATTGTTTTGTACTGGGCCAAAAAACAAGAGTTCCCGTACTTTGAAGGATGTGAAAAAAGTATCATAAAGTCACTATTTACTGACTCTTTATGAGATAATAACCCCCAGTTTTTGTTTATAGTGCAGATGATCTGAGTCAAACATTTTGCATGACTCAGGTCAGGCAGAAAGTTAGATATGGAGGTGGTATCTTTCCTTCCCAATGATGAAATGTTGCAAACTTTAGCATTCTGTTGTGGTTTATATGCTCAGTTATAAAAAGACTTCAAGGGAAAATTTTAGAAACTAACATAAAAATGTCTTTGATGAGCCTGATGTGATTTCAAGACATTTTTTACCCGGTCATGGATCTCATCGCAGTTTGAAGAAGAACACCAATCAGAATGGAATCTGTAGGCATAAAAAACAAAGGTGACTTGTATCCAGAGGGTGAGAAAAATAAATCTTTTCAAATGCCAGACAGTGGAAGTCAGTTTTTTTCATATCCCTATGTGATAATATATAAGATTAAGTAACATTTTTCTTCTTTCAACCAAGGATGAGAGGCAGATATAAACTCATGTTAATTCTCAGCTATAGTATTAAGCACTCACAATATGTTCAACAGACTTAATAATAAACATTGACATGCTTTTGTAGTAACATACCCATATATCTGACCATTCTAAGAATTTCCATACATAATTCTTGAGAGCTTTGTCTCTACATAAATAATACAAATTTTCATATTAGAACAATAATTCAATGTAGAGTGCATTTAAAATTGGTTATTTTCTAGTAATTGAATCATTCTCAAACTATGTGGAAGAAATTCCTTTCTGCATACAGAATAAAACATTTTATGAAATTAAACAAAATATTTACAATAGGTTGAAATATTGTTTATAATCCAATCATGTTCTTACTCTTCAGAACACAGGGGAACAATACAAATATCGAATAATCATGTTATACATCTGAAACCAATATAATGTTGTGTGTCAGTTATACCTCAATAAACAAATAAATAAAAAATTCAGGGGAACATAAAAATTGAATGATCCCATCCCTGTACAGATGGTATCACTTGTCTAGTTTCTACTATGATGTAAGTGTATTTTTGAAAAGTAAATATTGAAAAATAAGGAAGAAAAATATGTCTTTTATTAGAGTCTGATGTTGGAATTAAAAATGTCAAAGAAGAAATAAAGCAACCTTTCCTCTTTCTTATATCCTTGACCAAACTCAAAACTGACATTAGTATAATGAAGCTGTATAAGTAACAATGAAAACGTCTAGATATGATTATAGTGCATGTGCATAAAATGCCATTGGTAATTCCTTTATAAAGGAATGAGTACTAAAATGTTAATTGGTTGCTTGAAACTGCCTTTTTATCTCCCAGTTTGTTCTTAAAGTTACAATTTTATATGTTTACTCAGAGTATAGTTTATTAATAAGCAGGATAGATGATTTATAAAACCTGTTGTAAAGAATGTAATCAACAATGTCTAAATTTTAACCTCCTGCATTTTCAAAAGGAAGTATCACTGCATCTCTGCAAATATCCCGGCAGACCTTACTTGCTACAGATGTATGCATCCTGAAAATCTGAGATCCATATGTAGCTCAGGACCCCATAGTACCTTCAAAGATACCAGGAGAGGATCCACTGCAGTGATGGCGAACCTATGACACGCGTGTCAGAGGTGACACGCGAACTCATTTTTTTGGTTGATTTTTCTTTGTTAAATGGCATTTAAATATATATAATAAATATCAAAAATACAAATCTTTGTTTTACTATGGTTGCAAATATCAAAAAGTTTCTATTTGTGACACGGCACCAGAGTTAAGTTAGAGTTTTTCAAAATGCTGACACGCCGAGCTCAAAAGGTTCGCCATCACTGCTAGTCTGTGCTGTGGTATAAGAAATGATTGTATAACAATATTTTACCCCACTTGCAAAAATCAAAACCTTAAGCATGATTTAAAAGAAAATCAGTTCCTTTTAAATTAGATTTGCTAGTATTTCTCAGTCTGATTTTAGTAATAATTCTACATCCTAATACAAATGCTGCCATGATATTAACATTTATACTTTGAGGGAAAACTACTTCTGAACTGTAACACATCAAATTAAAACCATTATGGTGTGAAACTCTATTGGAGGTGTTTTTAAAATGCACTTAAAGCAAAAAGAACTTTAACTATAAATAAAAAATTAATTTGCTTAGAGTCACTGATAAAGGTTTTAAATGTCTGTTTATTCATATACATGATTAAGGAGTCAGCATTTTACAGCAATTTTAGAGAAAACTTAATTAATTTTATTGAATATTTACCCAGACAAATTCCTATAGCTGTATGCTTTGTCATACTCCCCAGTTTTTCCTGGGATATATAACCCACATTTACAGCAGTTTAAATTCCTTATTATTCCATTGGATTGTGTAAACATCCATAAATATACTGCCGAGTGGCCTGGAAAGCCCGATGAGAAATGTCTCATATTCAAAGATGTGGGACTGAGTGCACTAAAGAATAAAATGATTTTGTTCCTAGTAATATGCCATAAAGTTTTTATTTTTCTTTATAGACTAAATCAAGATCTTTTTTAAAAAATACACTCAAAGCACAGGTGTGTCACCTCAGTGAAAGTCCACCCCCCCAAATGTTATTGTTTTAGATAAATTCAAAACTAACCTCAACCTTCCTCAAGTCAATGTTAAGTAATGTTTACTGTTGGAATCACTCATTTCCTTCTAGAACTTATCCACATCTATCCAGCGTCCAGTGACAGCATTTCAGAAGCAGTGATATGTGAACAAGCAAAGAGGCTGCATGCTGACCTGAAAGACACCCCTGGAACAAGTGCTTAACGTGCCTATTTAAGGCTAGTAGGGGGTGGTTTGATAAATTTAAGAAAAGAGGTGTTTATTTATAGATTAAACAGTGCATTAGGAATGTATTGTATATAAGTTAAAAGAGGGAATCATTTGTGAGTCTGGAATAGATTAATTCAATTTACATTATTTCTAATGGGAAAAATGATTTGATTTTTGAGCAAATAGCTTCTCTCAAACAGCCTTCTGGAACTAAGTAAGTTTGAGAACTGAAGTTCCACTATACTAAGGGTTGGGTGTGTTGTTTTTTAATTTGTGACAGTTATTGTTTTCTATGTTACTATTTGCGAGAGAGGCAAGCAATTCCCAACTTGGATTCAACAAAACAATAATAAAAAACAGATGAGAAATTATTTCTTTCACATTCAAATTATAACTAGTGGCTAACTTTGGTTGCAAAGGTGTTTTTTAGAGGAAAAGCTAGAATTTTTAAATGATTAAGATTCTCTTGGGGAGTTGGAGGGAGGTTATTTGAGGAAACTAGGTACCATATACCAGCAATATATACATCACTATTATCACCAAAAGAAAAATATAATCTATGCTATTTTAAAAAATAAGACGTGCCTATAATATTAAATAGCTATAAATCTACTAAAAGCAAACTGTCACATACTCTATTTTTCACTTTTATGAACTATAGTACTTAATTAGGATTAAAGTCACTCAAATTACTAAACTCACTAATAATAAACTCACTTCAAGAACACTGGGTTGGGGAGGAGTATCTAACACTATATTATACTATACAATGTGTTCTAAGCAAAAACAATTCAAGGCTCTGAAAATCAAATTATACTTTTACAAATAATAACTTCACATATATTATTGCTACCTTCTCTTTTCTAGTGATGATTATTCAAAAACATAGTCCAGAAATAGAGACGAAGTGTTACCTTTCCCTGAGAGAAGCTCGGTTTAACACAGGGCTTGGAGGATGCTTCAGCATTGTTGAGGGTGCTGAATGGACAAGTAAGGTCCTTGCTGAATGCCGGGGCTTGCTACATGTCCTTGGGCTCAAATACTCTTCGCACCTTTCCAAAGAGTCATCGTAGTCTATGCCATGGGGTGTCCTGATAACCTGCTTTAAAAAGTATATATGTATACACAGAATATATATAGCAACATTATACACACACACTCACACACACACACACACACACACACACACCCTTTGTAAAAATTAAAATGCCACTGCTATATTTGAAGGTAAATTTCAGAGTGTAGCAGTCATTCTTATTGTAAGAACCAACATTAAATGCATCTGGATTGTTCATTCCACATGTCTAAAATTCATAAAACGTTATCACTCTAAGGGCTTTTTTTTTAAAGTATATTTTATTGATTTTTTACAGAGAGGAAGGGAGAGGGATAGAGAGTTAGGAACATTGTTCAGCTGCCTCCTGCACACCCTCCACTGGGGATGTGACTGCAACCAGGGTACATGCCCTTGACCGGAATCGAACCTGGGACCCTTGAGTCTGCAGGCTGATGCTCCATCCACTGAGCCAAACTGGCCAGGGCTCTAAGGGCTTTTGAGGAAGGGTGAGGTACAGGTAGGAATATATATATATATAACAAAAGACAAATACACATAAATAGTAGCCTAGTTTAAGATATGAGGCCAAACAGAATAGAATTCTAATCCTAATACTCATTCATTGCTTCATTTGTTCTGGGGAGAGACAAATGAATGAACCAGGATAGACAAATTCATAGATTCTTGCCCGTGTAGTAAAATTTACATTTGAATAAAGAGAAATAGATTTAAAAACACACACACATCAAAACAAATAGATAAAAATATACAGTATTTCAAAGGATGACAAATACCACAGGAAGAAAACAAAGCAGGAAAGGAGATAAGAACTCCTGATGGTTGCTGTGGGAGGGGTAGGTAGGGAAGGTAAGTTAGTTTCAAGTAGGAGAGAAAATGGGGACTGAATACAGAGGAGAATGTCTTAGTAAAGACCTAAGGAGTAAAGGCCTGAAGACATTAGTGAAGACATTCAAGAAAGAGAGAAAAATAAATGCAAAGATCCTGAGAGCTGGTGGGTGGGGGCAGGCCTGATATAGTAGAAATAGCAAGAAAGACAGCAGGGCTGGACAAAACAGTATGAGTTCAAAAAGTAGATTTTAAGGATTTAGGCTTCTATTCTGAGCAAGAAAAATGCCCTTTGTTTCTTTTTATTTTCTTTTTTAAATTTAATAAGATCTCCTTGGCCACTGTTTTAAGAACAGTCTATAGAAGGCCAAAGGCAATGACAGGGAATTTAGCTGGAAAACTATCACAACAAAATAAAGGAAAGGATGTTGGCTTGGACCAGAATGATAGCAATGGAGGTGAAAAGTGATCAGATGCAGAGTGCATTTTGAAGAGAGAGCCAACAGGACTTGCTAATGGACTGGATGTCAAAGATAGCACCAAACGTTTTGGCCTAATCAACTGGAAGAGTTGAGTTTGTATGAATTAGTTATAACATTCCAATTGGAAGGGTAGAGGAGTGAGATATTAGGAGACTAGTTTTGGACATGTTTACTTTCACATATCTATTAATCTATTAACCAGCTAACACATTGGAGTGGTGCTCTGCAGAAGAGTCCAGGATAAAGATATAAATAGTATTTAAAGGTATGACACTAAGTGATGTCACCAAGGAAGCGAGAGTAAATAGAAGAAAACATCTGAAGACCGAGCTTTGGGAATACTCCATTACTGAGAGGCTGGGAAGAAGAAAAGGAAACAGACAGGAAAGAAGGGGGAGAAATAGGAGAATGTGTTGTTCTGGAAGTCAATTAAAGAATGTATTGCAAGGAAGGAAGTAACTGGGTCAAATATTGCTGATATGTCAAATTAGAAAAGACTGAGGATGAACCTTCAGATTTTATCAACAGGAAGGTCATCAGTGATATTAGCAAGCATAGCTTTGAAGAAGTGATTAAAGTGATAATCTGGAGTTGAGTTCAAAAGCGAATGAGAGGAGGAATTACATTTATTAACACAGTTAACTTCTAGTCACTGTACTAAGTGTTGGGCCTACAACAACAGCTTATATTCTAGCAGTATTATTTACTAAATATTGACCTCTAAGGCCAGTTTGACCTTTAAAAAAGCTACCTAATCTTTCACAGATGCATTTCCCTCATATGTAAAATAGGGTTAATAATAGCTAATTTATTGATTTTTCCATAGTTTGTTTAGTAAAATATTTTGCAGTATGTCATTCATGATATGACAATTATTGTGAGTGCATTTTTTTGACTATGATAATCTCCAATTTATGCTTTACCTGAAAGCAAGGGTAATTACCATCATTCTGTAATTTATACCACATACCTTATAGTCCTTGGGCCGGTAGCTGCCATGATGAGAATGATCTGAAAAAAAGATGCACAAACATAAATATTTCATATCAAATATAAGAAAAATTGGTGTCATCTTTGCTTTCTGCTACTATCTATCCCTCTATGTCTATGATTATGAGGCATAAAGGCATTGTATGTTAGAAAGAATGGCCTTATAAATGAGACATCAGAGAGCTGGCTCTTGCCCATGTTCATATGTGATCTTTCTCTCTCTCAATTTCTTCCTCCATGCACACATGAAGAGTGGTCATGTGAGCAGACAGTGAGCACAAGCCCAAAGAGATCTCGGAATGAAACCTATCTTGCCAGCACTTTGAACTTAAGACTTTCCAGCCTCCAGAATTGTGATAAAATAAATGTCTGTTGCTTAAGCCCCTGCCCATGGTATTTTGTTAGGGCAGCCTAAGCAGACTAATACAGTACAGAAGACTATTATTTCTACTCTACATTTCAGGAGGCTGACTGCCTGTGTAGCTAAAAGTAATGGAGCTGAGGTCTTGGATTAGTCCAGTTGCTACTTCCACAAATAAAAGAATAATAGATTTATTATAAAACAAAAGCACACAGAATAAAAGTGACTTAGTCTCAAAAATGACATTGGATTGTGATTAGTTAACCAAATGGATGTAATATATAATCAATTTAATCAAATATCAAGTAGTGACTAACAATGCAGGTTAAAATAAAAATATGGCAGTCATCAAAACATTTTCCGGCAACTATCTAAAGTAGAAATGAAAACCCACTTTGTATAAAGTCATTGTTCACACTGATAAGTGAGAGCCTCTGCATCCATCCTCTCTCCATAGTTGACCTTCACCCAAAAGGGGTAGATGTGACTCAGTCCTGAAGGTCCAATCCTGGCTTTAAGCTGGAAGGACTTAGAGCTTTAATCTAAAACTCAGAAACTCTAACAATTCATTGTTCCTATCAAAATTATCAATGTCAAATATGAAGTCAGTCTCAGGAACTGATCTGTGTAAAAGAAAACTAAAGAGCATGGCAACTGAGGACTATATAGGATGTGGCATTTCTATTGCTATAAAGATATTGAGACAAGTAGCAAAATCTGATTTAGGTTCATAGGTTAGTAGTTGTTCTTATATCATTGTTAATTTCCTGCTCTGAGAATTGCATTACAGACCGTAATATCTGTTTTGGTCTCCTCAGGCTGCCATAACAAAACACCATAGATTAGGTGGCTTAAACAACAGACATTTCTTTCTCATAGTTCTGGAGGCTGCTGGTCTGAGACCCAGGTATCAGCACAGTCAGGTGCTGGTAAGTGTTCTTGTACTGACCCGAAGATGGCTAGCTCATAGCTGTGTCTTCACATGGCAGTGATGAAGAGCAAGATCTCTGGTGTCTCTTGTTATAGGGCACTAATGCTAAGAAGAGGGCCCCACCCTCATAACCTCATCTAAACCTCATTACCTCCCAAAGACTCCGTGTCCAAATACCATGACAATGGGATTAGAGATTCAACATATAAGTTCTGAAGGGACATAATTCATTCCATAGTGATGTCCTTGTCAAAATTTTACACACAGGCATGTGTATGCGCGCACACACACACACACATACACACACACACATACACACACACACACACACACACACAGGAAGGCAGGGGGAGAAAAAGATAGAGGGAGAGAGAAAAGCAAATATTAGTGTGTGTGGATTCTGAAAGGTATATTAGAAGTCTTTGACTCCTTCAAGTTTAAGTCTGAAATTCGGCAAATACATAACTGTCAACAAAAATCAGACACTTAAGTGCTATCCGAAGACATCTTCCAAATAAACATCTATATTGAAATTATTTTTTATTTTCTTGTCCTTAAAGCTTATTTTTCCATGTCCATAAATTTCTTCTAAGAGGAGAAACAGTTTATAACATCTGTTCCCAATTTCATATAATCTGACATTATAAGTATAAAAAACTTATTACCACATATATCTCCCTGTTAGTGCTAAAAAATAAAGCAAAATAAATGAGCACAAACTCTGAATGTTCTCAGAGAAGAATGTTTCATTTTTCCCACTTAATAAAAAGAGATTATACGCTACAGTTTAGAAAGAGAAAGAGAGCTCACTACATGTCATGATTATATTTTGTTCACTCTCTCATTTTTCTTTCTCTATGCCTTTGTCGGTATGTAGTAAACTAATTTAAGGGATGCTGGTGAATGCTTGTTGATCTGACTAGACAATGTCTATAGATATTAACACTTAAATATCCCTAATTATACAATACCATTTAACCTTCATAAAAATCATCTTCATACTGAACGTAAGAAAATACTATCTAACCATTCGGACTAGGACTAAAGTTTAAAGATATATACTTATAAACTAAACCTAAAGAATGTTACCTTTCAGAAACATACATAATAAGTATTTTTTATATATTATAATGAGAGCTGATATGTGTAAGTCCAGTGTGCTAGGGCAGTTTACATGGCAACATTTACCATGTTATCTTCATTCTTTAATAACTAAACTGATTATCAAAGTAGTTAAGGATTTATTAAAAAACTTCCACTTTGTAGGTAAATGGTAGAACAAACATTCAAATATATGTGTAAATGTCTGTCTAAAACCTATAACGAACTCTTTTTACTATGGTATTCCCCAAGGTTAGTAATTTATGTTAAGGTGAGAAAAGAGTTCCATAGTCAAATAAATTTAGAAATTGTTGAGCAAAACAAAGTCAAGTTATTGTTTTTTACTAGAAGGATCAGTCTTTAATATGTTAATACATATTTTGTATCTCAAAGAGGGAGATGGTTTATAGCAAGACAGAAATTCTATTAATTTTAGAGAGTACCTATATGGGTGTCCCATAAGTTATAAAAAATAGCACTATGTCATATCATCCAACCATACAGCAAAGATTGTTTTTTGTTAACTGTTGCCATTGTAGGCTTGACTGTAGCCAAGGCAATAAAACAATGAAGAGAGAGAACCTGTAGCTTACCATTGTGCATCCTGGACCATCCATCCCTTTCACAGTCTCTGCTAGAAGACCCAAATAGAGGATCAGCCCTGGGACTTGGGGGATCGACCTAGAAGAAGGAATCCAATGTAAAAAACAAAACAAAAACAAACCCACAAGAGCTTAAATCTTGTTTCAGTCCTATGACACCAGAAAATCAACTAAAGTACATAGACCACGTATCTTCAGGTTAATGTGGCAGTGACCGTATGGTTCAGCATGTTTCAAAGTCAGAGCATAATTGAGTATTTCTTTGTTCATTTTTAAACAAAACTGATATAAAATTCCAGAAATTTTTAATTATATATTTGAGCCTATTTAGAAATGAACAGATATACAGTGGAAATAATCATTACTCCATTGCCTAGTTTGCCAAGTTTAAAAAACAGGAATCTACTTTGCCACATTTCAAAAATAATTTGGTCATTTGCTACTTATCTCTTTAGTACATAGATTTTGAATTCAGTGTCTTGGCTGTGTTCAGAGCCCAGCATGCTAAGTGCTTTATAGCTTACAGATAATAAGTCAATCACATTTTCTAACCAAAAATTTTTAAAAAGTCAGTGATATAAATCTGTGTAAAAAAAGACAGCGCTACTCAGGAAAATTAAAAACTCTGAATTAAAGTTCTAAAGAACAATACCAAGACTGTGAGAAGACAACCCATAGGAGAAAATACTTGCAAATTATCTGATATAGTAATATGTAGGCATTAATATGCAGAATATATAAACTTCTACAACTTAATTTAAAAACTCAATTAAAAGTGGGCAAAGGACTTAGACATTTCTCCAAAAAATATAAAAATGAACAATAAGCACATGAAAAAAATTTTCAATAGCACTAATGGTTAGGTGAATGCAAATTCAAACCACAATGAGATAATATTTCATACCCATTAGGATTACTATTATAAAAAAACAAACACACACATATAAAAAAACAACAGAAAATAATAAGGGTTTATGATAATGAGGGGAAATTAAAACCCATATGCATTTTTGGTGAGAATGTAAATTGGTGTAGCTAGTATAGAAAATAGTATGGAGGTACTTCAAAAATTTCAAAATCAAACTGTAATACGATCCAGCAATTCCACTTCTGAGTATCTACCCAAAAGATATGAAAGCATGGAATTGAACAGATATCTTGACACTGTGTTCACAGCAGTATTATTCACAATAGCCACTTATATGAGACACCCAAAGTAGTAAAATTCAGAAAGACTGAAAGTAGAAATGGTAATTGCCAGAGGCTATGTGGAAAGGCATTGTTAATGGGTACAGAGTTTCAATTTAGCTAGATGAAAAATATTCTGTGGACAGATGGTGGTGATGGTTATCTAATAATGTAAATGTAGTTAATACCAATACACTGTACACTTAAAAATGTTTAAAATATCCCTGCCAGCATGGCTCAGTGGTTGAAAGTTGACCTATGAACCGGGAGGTCACGGTTCGATTCCCAGTCAGGGAATATGCCTGGATTGCGGGCTTGATCCCTGGTGTGGGGCATGCAGATGGCAGCCGATCAATGAGTCTCTCTGTCATTATTAATGTTTCTATCTCTCTCTTCCTCTCCTTTCCTCTCTGAAATCAATAAAAATACATTTTTTAAAATGGTTAAAATAGTACATTATGTATATTTTAGCACAATTTTTAAAAATTTAATTGAGGATCAAAAGATAAGCCAGAGAATGAGAAAAAAAATGTACAAATCATACCTAATAAGATTCTAGAATCTTAAATATATAAAGAAAACTTACAACTGAACAACAAAAAGACAAACAACCTACTTGAAAATGGGCAAAAAAATTGAATAGAAAGTTCTCCAAAGAAAATACACAATTGGCTAACAAGCACAGAAAAAGATGCTTAACGTCATTAGTCTTTAGAAAAATGCAAATCTCAACCATAATGAGATACCAAACCCCTAGGATAGTTATAATAAAAAGAAAACAAAACGGAAAATAACAAGTGTTGTTAAGAATGTGGATAAATTGGAACTCTCACACATTGCTGGTGAGAATGTAAAACCAGGTAGAAAACAGTTTGACAATTCCTCAACAAGTTAAACATAGAATTACCTAATGGCTCAGCAATTTCACTACTGGGTATTAGAGCAATTAGGAATTAAAACAGGCATTCAAACAAAAGCATCTGTACAAATGTTCATAAAATCACTGTTTGCACAACCAAAAGGCAAAAAACAACACCCAAATTCCAATCAACAGACGATAAACAAAATTTGTTATGTATTCATACAATGGGTTATTATTCAGTCACAAAAAGAATCAAGTACTGATACACATGCTACACCATGGATGAAAACTCAGTAACACTGTTCTAAATGAAAAAGCCAGGCACAAAATGCCAATATTGTATGAGTCTACCTATATGAAATGGCAGGATAGGAAAAGCCAGACAGATAAAAGGCAGATTAGTGGTGGCAAGGGACTGGAGGAAGGGAGGAGTGTGAAGTGAATGCTTAATGAGTACAGGGTTTTGGTTTAGGATAATGAAGTTCTGGAACTAGACAGTTGTGACAGCTGCAGAACAATATGAATGCACTTAATGCCACTAAATTATATGCTTTAAAATGACTGAAATGGTAAATCTGCATGTGTTTTACCACAATAGAAAAACACAATTATTCTGCATAAATAAAATCCTATCTAGATAAATGAAAAAGAAAAAAATGCCCTTTAACTCTTTTAGAATGGTGTGCCAGTTTATTTGGGGGCATGCTAATGATTTCTTGAAATGGCTCCATATTCTTTAGGCTATATTTCATACAATATAGCTGTGAAACTCTAATGTCTTTCCTAGAAGTGTTAACATTTTGCATATGCATGTAACAAATTAAAATTTGGTTTGGTTATCAATTTATTAAGTGCTTTTAAAAACATGAATGGCTATGGGAGTGGGGTGGGGAAACACGTCTATATTTATAAATACAACTAGAAAAATCCGATTTCCTATACAATAAGGCAAGCAATTTTCTAACTGTATGCATTTCTTTCTCTTCAATAGAAAGCTGAGGAAAATCACTTTCATAAAAATGTCAAGGTTTATACAAGCCATCTTAGGATTACTCTATTTTGAACACTGATGTGAAAAGCAACAATAGAATAAACATTTTAAGAACAGTTATTTCCCTAATATTTATGTGGCTAACCCCCAAAATATTCCTGGTTTTCTTTGTGCACAGCCACCTAGGATGTCCTTCTTTTCAATTTAATTTACAATGGAGGGCAGATATAAAATTAAAAGCTGCTGAAACTGCCATCAAACAAACAAGTAAACATTATCTGGATATTGTTGATACACACCACCACAAAAAAATCTTATCAGAACTTACAAATTCTAAAGAAATAAGGCTAATGTAATAGTAATAGTTTAAACTTAAACCATATGAAAAGCAGGTTTCTGTATAGAAAGATTAGAACTAAGCACCCCTTAATGCTCTTCACTTTCCAAGGCCTTTGCATTGCCGTCAAATAACGATTTGCTTCAAAGATCCATTCATTATATAAGGTTTACCCAGGAGACAGGATTTTAAAGAAAACTTACTTTCCATTATAATTTTTTAAAAGGCTGAGGGATAATGGGGGGGGGGTCTTCCTTTTCATAAAGACAACTAAGTCTTCTTTTAAAATTCTACTCTGCCATTTTAGTACTAACATCAATTACATCTAAGTTCAGTCAGTACAGTTATTATGCTGTACACAGTATAAGAAGAAAGGAAATGGGTACTTAGAGGATTTAATATGGCATTCACAGTGGAGCTTGATCTTCGTCAGATTTAAAAACTGACAAAAGAATGTTCTTTTATTCCCAGTTAATGTTCCATTTTAGATTGCTGGGCTAACAGTTCAGGAAAGAAAATTATTAACATAGGCTAGAAGTTGAAAGAAGTTTTAAAATAATATTTTCGTGAAAGAACAGATTAGTTCAGTTTCAAATGGAAATGTTTAAGAGAACACATACATGTCTAATCACAAATGGAGGCTTATCTGTTTCTTTTTTGAACTCATAGGGTCCCAGGTTTAAATGGGCCAGCCGCCGCCTGGTGTCTTCAGATAGCTCACACATGCGTCTTTTTGTGTAGGGAGATGGAGAGTGTGATTTTGAAGAAATCGTAGGCTGTTCGTAGTTTTTTGCATTTACACAATATTTACTTCTCTCAGGTGACTTGGATTTTTTCTTTTGAGATCTTAGTGTTCTGGTTTGCAGTCTGCCGTGTGATTTTTCAACTGGAGCCGTATGGTAAATATATTTATCCTAAACATAAAAAATTAAAATGAACTTGGGTAGAAGAAAAATAGGTAAATGTAAATGGATATATATTTTAAAAATAAATGTATAGCAGTATACTCTATCAAAGCCAATTAGATCAGTCTTTCCTATTTGTGCATATCCTGAGGGAAGTCAAACCCAAATTCTCCTAGAAAACTCTTTGTCGAGAAGTCAATAAAGTTTACTATATGAAACTTCCTTCTAAGTTTAACAAGTACTTTATGAAAATGAAAACCCAATATTTAATCATTTGAAAAATCTAGGAAACAAAGTCAGAATAATTATTTTTCAGTATGCTAAAAAAAATTAATGCTAACATTGATTTATTGTTTATAATTAAGTATTTAAGTAATTAGATATATAATTTAAGAGGGTTTACAGTAATGTTAAAAATACACATATCTAATTGATTATGAGATCTTTATGGAGAAAATTATTAAAATAAGTTTCATTCAGAGTGCTATGATTATAAATATATAGACGTATACAAGAACACGTTTTCATGACATGTATTACTTAAATTATACAAGGTGATTAGGATTTTAAGATCTCCACCAAACTATCCTATATAATAAAGAGGTAATGTGCAAATTGACCCTCACTCTGTCAAGCTGTCAAAAGACGGCTGTGCCCACAGCGGAGGCAGGGTTCCCATAACACAAGATGGCTGCACCCACAGTAGAGGCAGGGTTCCCGTAATGAGCCATAACAAGTGATCAGCAGGGACCTGAGGCTGTGCCCCCCGCCCCTTTATAGAGAAAGGGGAAATAGCAATATTAAAATATTTCCTCTAATTAATTCCCTTTTAATGTGCACAAATTTCATGCACTGGGCCACTAGTAAATTTATAATTCAACTAGAGGCCTGGTGCACAACATTCATGCACTTGGGCGGTGGAGGGGTATCCCTCAGCCTGGCCTGTGCCTTTTAGCAGTCGGACATCCTTAGCGCTGCTGCAGAGGCAGGAGAGGCTCCTGCCACCACTGCTGCACTCGCCAGCTGTCAGACTGACTTCTGACTGAGCAGTGCTCCCACTGTGGGAGCACACTGACCACCAAGGGACAGCTCCTGTGTTAAGCGTCTGCTCCCTGGTTGTCAGTGTGCATCATAGCGACAAGTCATTCTGCCATTCGATCAATTTGCATATTACCCTTTTATTATATAGGAGGATGACAGATAACCGTACCAACTTAATTCTGGTTCCACATTTGTTATAAAAATAAAAATGTATAAAAGACAGATAAGAAACTTTAATGATTAGCATTCTATCTTTTAAAAAATTAGTTATCAGTCTACATTTTTTTAAATGTGACTCTTTCTAAATTTTTTGCATTATTAAGATAACATTTTATTTAGTCTCTGCCTTATAAATGCATTAAAAGTTGGGTTACAAGTAAATAAGACCTCTTCACTCATTTTCTAGAATTATGAGCTTTCCAATATTAGGAAAAATGGGCAGTTGAGAATCTTTAATGTCCTTCTAACTTTAATCGCTTTAGAAAACCATCAATCCTACCCCACTTTCTACTTTCTTAATCCCCTTCCCTATTTGCTAAAGGTATCTATTCTAAGAAAATAAAATAAAAATGTGAAATAAAAGGGAGAAAAATAAAATATTTTTTAAAAGTAAACAGGAAAAAAATATATTTTCCTAATTGAAAAAATAAATCCATGAGTTTCATACAAACCAACAGCAACAGATTATTTCTTCATCACCACTGGCTCTTGGCCCTTCTCCCACCCTGTTCAGTGACTTCGACAAGTAATTCAGAATTTTTCTACCTTATCCCAGTTCATCTACCTCTATGACATCATACTGACTCACAAAGGCAGGAATGGCAACACATGAAAGGACCTTTAAGGTTTAATAAAATGTTCAAGCAATGAACTTTTCTAAGACTTTGGACTGAGACTTTCTATTTCTCAGCTTTAATTATCTTCTAGTTCTTTGTTTTAGATTTCATCATTATGCAGATCCATTGCATCCCAAACTCTGAAATCCCTTGCTCACCAAAACTTTTTCCTCAACCTACTTCTTTTATTCTCCCTGAATCTGTTACTTGCCCTCTCAACCTTCAGTCCCTAGACCTCGTTCCCCCAGACCTTCCTACATTTTTAGTATCTCTTACCTCCAGACCCAGATGAGCCCATGATCACCCACTTTAGCAAAGCTGTAAAGTTCCTACTTTTCCACCTCTTATTATACCAAAGCTAAAGTAATTAACCACACCTTCTTTTTTCATTTTTTTAAATGTTAAGTACTACTAGAGGAAGTTGTAAATAGTGGTATATCTACTATAGATACCTGCTGCCTAACTCTCCTCACTCCTTAATGCATCCTATTAATGCCAATAAAACAACGCAAGTGCTGTTTATATTGCTGACATAATGGCTTGCTCCTTTGGCCAACAGCATAATAGCACATAAGACACAAAGACCTGAAAAATGCTTGCTGTCTTTTACTCCTAAGTACCTTCCTGCCACTATGTGGTAGAGCCAAACTGAGCTGAGTTAGTCTACAAGATGATAAGAGTCTGTGGCCATTGCCCCAGCTGAAATAACGCCAATTGCCAGAAATGTAAAGTCCCTTCCTGGACCAAAAAGGCAGCCAACTGAGAAAGATGTGAATGAAGCCATTCCAGATCATTCAGCCCTAGCCTAGGCAGTCCAGACCAAAAGAATCACCAGCCAATCCACAGAACTGTGAGAAACATTGTTTTAAGCCACTAAGTCAGTGTAGCTTTTTACACAACAAAAGCTAGCTGACATAGCAGATTAACAAACATATTAATAAAGCTTCTACTGATATTTAACTAATAATAAATTCTACTTTGCAGTAGATAAAAAGAATAAGTAGAAAACTAGTTTTATTCCAGAAAAATCACAATAATATGCTCCTTTTTCCCAGTAAATCTAATTGGTGACAAAACATCCAATTTGAAAATGTGCCAAAAGAAATAAAGATCCTTATAACATTGTAAACCTCAATAATCTCAATAACTTTTATGATTTTATGGATTCCTCCCTTAACAATAAAAGTGGTTTGTCTTATTCTTATATTTAAATCCGAAAATGATGCTTTAAAGCTGTTAAAATTTTGTTATTAATATTCACTTTTTTTAAAAAGTAGATTTATTACATTTTCAAATAAGTTCAAATAAGATTACAATTCTGGCTGTTAACATTCATAATTTTAATGTAAATATATACTCTTTGGGCCCACCACACAATGTTTTCTATTATATATTTCAGCTATTATCTTCTCATCTCTCCCAATTATCCTAATTAAAATAACCTAGTAACAGCCACAAAATTCATTAATTAAATATTATGTGCCAGGCAAATTCTCTAATCCTCTAATTTAATCTTTAAAATAGCCTTATGAAAAACCTGAACCCAGATCTGTCTGACACCAAAACCTATTCTCTTCCATCTCTGTTTGAAGAACAAATGACAAATATTGAAATAGCATGTTAAGACAAGTCTTCCCAAATGTTTACGAGGAAAATGTTAGTTCAGAAGTCCAATGAAGTACTAATGGGGAGAGGAGAGTCTGGGGACAGTTTTACATTTCGAAAGGTCTCTTCCATCAAGCTGTACACTTAGAACATATGTACTTTTCTGTGTATATGCTATACTCCAGACAGAAAAAGACTGCTTTAACCACCCTTTAAAATGGCATATCATGTTAATGTGGAGAGAAAGATGCTGTCTGAGTCCATGTAAAACATTTCTAACAATTTACAACTTCTAACAAGTCAAAAGCACATCTCTACATTCAGTAAGTATAAATTGTTAGAACTCTAACAACTGTGTTTCAGCTTGCATTTAAAAAAGACAAATAACTACAGCCAAACTCTGATGTATTAAATATCTTGCTAAACAAAATATGATCCCTTTGATAATTTTATAACTATATTTTACCTTTCTTAGCTTAAGTCAGAGTTATCATCTTCAGCAAATCTCTAAAACT